GGGAGGCGACAACCTAATGGTATTATCACTGGACTGTTAACCCAGAGACCAAGACAATGTTCTGGCTTTGAATCCCGCCTTGGAGGATGGTGGAATTTGAATTAAATTAAAAAAAGTCTGGAATTAAGAATCTAGTGATAACCATGAATCCATTACCGATTGTCGGAAAAACCCATCTGGTTCATTAATGTTCTTTTGGGAAGGAAACTGCCATCCTTACCCGGTCTGGCCTACAAGTGACTCCAGACCCACCGCAATGTGGTTGACTCTCAACTGCCTTCTGGGCAATTAGGGATGGGCAATAAATGCCTAGCCAGTGACGCCCACATGCGATGATTGAATAAAGAATTAAATTTGTTTCTGATGTTAATAGGATGTAAGGGACATCTGTGAGTGCATGTGACAAACAGAGTGTTGTACAGCTTATTTGATTGAGTTAAATTTGTATAACAGTTAAATTTGTTCCTGCTGCTAATAGGGTTATGGTTTACCGATGGAATGTCATGTTGTAATTGGCTTATTGTGTTGCTAAGGCTTGAAAACAAAATGTTTTAGATAAAGCTATCAGCATCTTAATGTTTAAAAATCTAAGCCAAACTTAGAATCTACGCAGTTACACATTTATTCTCGAACGTAGAACGTAATGTCACGGCTTCTTAATAAAAATCCTCGGATTTTTACCTATTGGCAACTGGTTATTCTAAGAAGAAGAAAGAGCGTATCCAACAGCTTGTGTCATTCTGGTGAAGCTGTGTTGCACCCACTTTTCAAAGCCAACATGAGGTGCCCAGGGATAGTTACAGGAATATAAGTTATATACAAATGTAACATTGTTATAGCCTTTGGAGGGTCTCCTACTGGTGGAACAAAACATTTCCAATGAGAGTGATCAATAAGTATGGGATATTGACTCATGGGTATGGCTAAATCAGGCTGTTTTTATCTAGTTCAGTTCTAGAGACACAACTTGGAAATGACCTTCTCCAAATCTACAGCTTTACATCGTCCAATAGAGATAACCACTGACCGTGAGATATTTGCAAATCAATTGAAACTGCTCATTATTAATATGCTTCCTTTATTGTATGTTCTATTAATTATAATCATAATAATCATGCTATTAAGATAGTATTTATTATTATTTGATCAATAACTAGATTTTCTTGTTGGCAGCAGACAGATTTTATATGAACTTTAGCCTCTGTCACACTCTCATTATTCCTATTGCAGTGAGTAACTGTGCTCAGTCTCTCCATTGGTCACTGGGGTCTACATGTCCTTTGCGAGAATGAAGTGTATCATCAGTCCAATGGCCAGGATCAGGGGTCCTGAAAGGAAGGCTAGGCCACGGCGAATGATCAGTTGCTTTGTGGACAGGATTTCTCCGACTGTGGTAACTCCAGTTTCCAAAAATGAAGATTCATCCGTCACCTGGTCCTTGTCCACATGTGGTTCCAATTGTGAAACACTGGACATCAGAACCACAGCATTGTTTCCTGTGTCCTCCTCTGTGAATGAAACTTACAGTGAGACATTGAAAGCACATGATGGTACTGTTTGATCCATTTTCTGAGGAGCAGACCATTGATCTCCAATTGCCAATGCCCCATGATCTACATAAAAGGACCCATCCTGCCAAAAGCACAGGGACTAACCTTAACTTCCAACCTTCTTGTTTTTGATTCCTTCAACAGTCTACCTTCTCACTACCTACGGATCGTTGCCTCTATAGCCCTTCAGAAATAGTTGAAGGGGCCAGTCCAACTCAGTAGATTCATCAACACAAAGACACAGTTTTTACCTTCCTTTGAATTTCTACTGACTGTTCATAATCCAACTGGGATTTTTGCCTCTAAGAGAGTGCTAACCGAGGACCAGCATCACAAAACTGTGTAGACACACAGTCAGCAAGCATACCAAGGTCTAGGCAATGTTTAGAGACCATATCATTGGTGGATTTGATGACAGCTGAGCAGAATTTTCTGCATTTTCTCTCATTTGTTCCGAGGGAGTGAGCAATCTGGCAAGTCAGCAATTATTGTCCATCAATGTTTGATCTGAGAAAGTGGTGGTGGGCCTTCTCCTTAGTCAATTCTAGGAATGACAGCAGCAAACCAGAAATAGCCTCCCACCTCACTTCCGTGTCTCTATTGCCAGTTTACTCTGGATTATACAATGTTTACTTCCTTATATCTGTTTACACTTGACTTCACCTGACAGTAGCACTCCTTGAAAGCTTGTGATTCCAAACAAACCTGTTAGACTATAACCTGGTGTCGTGTTACTTCTGACTTCCACGCCAATGCAACACTGGCACCTCTACATTATCTCTGTGTTAATCATAGATCATGTAGTTAAAGTTGTCACTGATCTCCAATATGGATTGAACTTTAAGCTTGGCAGTGAATCCGGATCTGGCACTTGATAGTAAATGTTTTACTGCCATTAACATTGATGGATGCAGTATTTTCTAACTTTGATTAACTGAATGAAATGTATCCAAGAATCTTCTCAATCAAGTTTTACAAAGTATCATTCCTTTTTTACCTGTTGAGAGATCTTTCGCTTGACCACCAGAGGTGCTGTCTGAGGTACCCAATCCTCTCATTGTCCCTGCGTTAATCTGAGCCTTTGAATGAAACATAAAAATTGTTATGAACAGTGAAGGAAGGATACATCAGAGAGAACGCTTTCTATACCAAACACTCCTCAATCTGTATGATTTTGAAGCTGCTTTAAACCTGACATTGCTGGCAGTTATTAGAATTCAATGTCATATTAATTGTATAATTAGTCCTCTCTGGAAATCTTTGAGTCATGCTTCATAAGCTGCCCATTGTAATGATTTATTATGCAAAGCTAGAAGCAGATTGGAGGGAATTCACTTGATTTTAATGGAAACTGATGATTCAAACCAGTCTGAAGATCAGTATTATTAATAGTTCAATTTAGCAACATCCATCCACCAGTTCAAGGTATCCTTGAAAGCAAGTTCTAAACGTAAACAAGACAATCAAATGTTGGTCTGACCTTAGTTGGAATTACAGAAGCTCTATAAGCTTTCAGGTACATTTTGCCTACTTTATCATCTGAGGTGATGGCACACTGTTTGTTGAGTTCCTGGGCATTGTATGGGGCACTGAATTCTCGTTCTGCCAACTGGGTTTACAGCATGGTCTAAGGAGACAAGGGACAGTGGGGGGAGAAAAGAATATTCTACTAAAAACATTGGCACAATCATCTCTACTATCTACACTTACCTGATTGGCAGTTTTCTTCCAGTCGAGTTTGCAAATCACTGTCAGAAAAATAATGGATTGTACAGACGCACAAAGCAATAGTCCACACCAGAGACCTGCAAAATAATAGCGTGCAGTGAGTATGGAGAGAATGCGGTTGGGATTTTCTTTCATTCCTACTCTTTTAATGAACCCTTTCACCTTTATCAGATGCCCCCATTTGGCCTCAGCACCTGTGGATTTGGGACGTGAGGAATTCAGCCAGAAATCCCACTCCTAATGAATATCTAACAGTCTGTGGTGGAAATGCATGTGTGTGGAGTTTGGGCGAGCTGTGATGCTCACTTCCTGTCAATATTCCATGTCTACGGTTTTGATTGAAAACTGGCCGTGGGATCAAGGTGCTGCATAAAGTAATGGCTCTGAAAGGGTCAATGTTGAAGATTGTATTTAAATTCTACCCAAACTAATAATGTCATAGAGACTTGGGTGTGGAAAGGCAGAACATCTTAAGATTTTGAGGTGATCAGACCTATTACCCTACATTTTCCAATATTTTAATAACAATGTCTAACTTACTAATGCAATTGTACCCGATTGCTATCATGCTATAAACCATATCATGTCTAAGCCAGAAACTTTTCCTGGATAGATTAGCTGGAGGTTTTCCTCTGATTTGATTTGATTTATTACTGTCACATGTATCGAGATACAAACAAGTGTTGCCTTACATGTTTTACAGGCAGGTCGTACTATACAAGTGCATCAGGGTAATAGAACAGAGTGCAGGATACAGTGTTACAGCTGCTGAGAAGGTGCAGAGAGAGATCGACATTAACATTAAAGAGGTCCATTCAAAAGTC